TCTCTCTCTCTCTCTCTCTCTCTCTCTCTCTCTCTCTCTCTCTCTCTCTCTCTCTCTCTCTCTCTGTCTCTCTCTCTCTCTCTCTCTGTCTCTCTTCGCGATAACGATGGTGATGCTAGATCGCGATGACGACGTGGTGATGCTCGATCGCGATGACGACGTGGTGATGCTCGATCGCGATGACGACGATGATGGCGATCTACCAGAGCTCTCTCTCTCTCTGTGTCTCTCTTCGCGGCGCGCTCGATGGTCATCACGACGATGGTTGCCCCTTCGACAACTCTCTCTCTTTCTCTGTCCCTGTCTCTCTCCCTCTTTCTCTCTCTCTCTCTCTCTCTCTCTCTCTGTCTCTCTCCACTAGCGGTCCCTTTCCTCCATTCAGTGTTGCTATGCATCTCCATCATCTGCAGTCTTTTTGATGTCCGAGCTGCCTCCTTCCTTCTCCTTCGCCGCCCTCCGTTTCTTCTCGATCCTTTTCGCCATGTCGAGTGCTAGCCAACACTCTTCTTCGACTTCGGACGCAGGAAGGGCGCGCGCTTTTTCTCTTTCCCTCTCAGCCTCCTCTTCCAGCAACGTTGGGTTGGCTTTCTCCCTCTCGATGTACCTCTCCGCCTCTCCGTCCTATTCCCTGTCCTTCTCCTCTTCCAGCTGTTGTCTCTCCTCTTCCTCCATAGTTGCTTGCACCTCCCATGCGTAACTGAGCTGCCATAGGTACCTGCCATTTGTGCACTCGGCTCCATGCAAAACGTCTCTTCTAGAGAAGAGGCTGCCGTCTGGCCACTGTATGCTGAACGGATTTATGGAGCCTCCCTGGGCATGACTCCCGTTGTTCCTCGAGCTCGTCGTGTTGTTACGCACCATGGCGTTGTGGAGAGAGAGAGAGAGAGTGTGTAAGATAGAGACAAAGAGAGAGAGTGATAGAGAGAGAAAGAGAGTCTGCGAGTGTAGGATAGAGACAGAGAGAGACAGAGAGAGACAGAGAGAGAGAGAGCGATTGAGAGAGAGGTAGGCTATGGAGCAGGAGCGTAGTGGAGTTTCGCTTAACAACAACGTTGACGAGTTGGAGGCTGACATGCTCCATATTCGGTTTGGTCAACGTTTTATACAGTAAACGTTGATCTGGCCCTTGCCCCGGGCTGCGGTTGACCTGATGTTGGGCCCAGGTTGATGTGAGTGTGGACCTGGGCCTCAGGTTAACATGGGTGTGTGCTACAATCTTCCCCCGAATGCAACGTACGGTCATTATAGCTGAATTTGGTGTATGTTTCAGTCTAGATACAGTGATAATGATTGTACGTTGTATTCGGGGGAAGACTGTAGGACGTCAGCCAAGGCGTTAAAAAAAAAAAAAAAAAAACGTGGCAGGAAATCAGAGGGACAAAAAGGCAAAACGACAAAAAGGCAGGTGGGCAGGCAGACGGGCAGGCAGGCAGCCAAGCGGACAGGCTGACAGGCAGACGTTCAGGTGGCAGACAGGCAGACGGAAAGGTGTTGACTTGGCAGACAGGCAGACATGCACGCAGACAGGTGTTGACGTCTCCCAGGTGTTGATGTGGCAAACAGGTTGACAGGCGGCCAGGCAAGCAGGCAGGCACGCACACAGGCAGGCAGGCAGACAGGCACGCAGGCAGGCAAGCAAACAGGCTGTCAGGTGTCTGCCTGTCTGCCTGTCTATCCGTCTGTCTGTATGTCTCGCAAGTGTTGACGTGCCAAGCAGGTGTTGACATGACAGGTGGAAGTCCTGCATAGCCACACAAGCATCGATGTGACAGGTGTTGTCAGGTGTTGACGTGACAGTGTGGACCCTGGACTTTGGGTGGGTTCTATGGCTAAGCACCTGTCTGGCCACAGTCAGACAGGCAGATAGGCAGCGAGATAGGCAGGCAGACAGACAAACATGCATGCAGAGACCAGGTAAGAGGTCTGGACCCGGTTATTCATTGGGTCTGGGCCTTTGCCCCTTTGAGTTTGGTATGGGCCCAGATGTGATTTTTTTTTTTTTTTTTTTTTTTACCACGGACCTGGACCCGTACATAGGCTGCTGTATGTGTGTCTGCATATCTGTCCGTCCGGCTGTTCTGAAACGCCAGCCCTAGACCTCTGGATGGGCGCAGACTTGGACCCATACATGACTTGTTCTGAAAGGCCAGCCGTAGACCTGTGGGTCTGGGGCTGTGCCCCTTTGATTGAGGAATGGGCCCATCCCTGATTTTTTCAGTAAGACGTATAGAGGATGAGTTTCAATTACCAGTAAGGGGATTCTCTCTCTCTCTCTCTCTCTCTCTCTCTCTCTCTCTCTCTCTCTCTCTCTNTCTCTCTCTCTCTCTCTCTCTCTCTCTCTCTCTCTCTCTCTCTCTCTCTCTCTCTCTCTCTCTCTCTGTTTTTGTCTTTCTCTCTGTCAATTAATAAATCAATCAATCAATTTCATCTATTGATGGATTGATTAATTGATTTTTTATTTTTTTTCGCTGAATGGTACGTAAGGGTTGAAAGAACATGGAGGCAGGCAGGAAGGGGGGAAGATTGGAATATGGATCATGATACACGTTAGACTATCATCTAATTTTGCTACTGATATATTCATTGTTTTTTCATGGTGGTCTCCTCACACGGACAGGCATCCGCTGTACACAGCGATTTCTCTCTTTCTGTCTTTGTGTGTCTCCATATCTCGCTCTCTCTCTCTCCTCTCTCCCTCCCTCTCTCTCTCTCTCTCTCCCTTTCTCTGTCTGTCTATGCGTGTTCCATTTATTGAATTCGTTAATAGTGGTGAAATGAAATGAAATTTGCAGCTTTGTCTGGGCCTAACTTTTTTCATTTTTTTTTTGTTTTTTGCGGGCATTGCCTGCACCGCCCGCACCACGGGCGCTTAGCTAGTTAGTATTTATTACAGTGTTGCATACCAGCCGACAGCTGAAAACGACCGACCGTTCCGCAGCCAAGCGGTAGGGCCGAGAGGTGGTGATCTGCCGACCAGTCGATGGAGGATCGTCCACTGAATTTTCTGAAAATCCTAGTTTGGAGTTGTACTGCGCTTGTCGAGTACAACCCAAATCCACTAAGAAACTTCAATTATGGGGAAGGGCGTTGGCGGGGGGAAGTACGGGAGGGGTTATGGGCGGGTGTAGAGGATGGGCTATGGGGGTGGGGAGGCAGGTTATGGGGTCGTTATTGGGGTTTGGGGGGGTTATGGTGGTCCAACCTTCTCTTTTTCCTTTTCGGGGGTGGTGCCGACTAGCAGCTGACCGGTAGGTGCCAACCGGTGAACCGGTCGGCTGGTTGGTTGCGGATCGATTGAGGGCCGCCGACTGTCAGTGTGACTATAACTGACTAATTCTTTAATGAAACAAGGCTGGGAGTGTCACACTCTCACTTTTGAAAATGCAAAAAAAAACACGTGCGGGCAACAAAATCGGGTGCAAAGTTTGAAAAGGGCAATATCAATAAAAATGGTTGTGGCCAGCGTGTGATTTTGTTGCCCTTTCCAAACTTAGTGTGCGAGTTTGCTGCCCTTTTCAAACTCAGTGTGCGGGTAAGAGTGGTTTTGTTGCCCTTTTCAAAATCAGTGCACGAGTTTGTTGCCCGCGTGTGATTTTGTTGCCCTTTTCAAACTCGTTTATGGCACAACCGAACTTACCCCTTCTTTAATTCATTTATTAATGCAGCCTTCTTTTTTTTTAAAAAGAAACTTTGTTATACGGGAAACCTACTTAACGAGGTGATAAGAGCATCCCCGGTAAGTAGGCCCCGGCGTCGAAGGCTCCATCTATTGGTGGGGAGCTATACCTGCTGGAAATCGGGTCCAACGTCCCTGTACAATTATGAGAATGTATCTGCTGGAAATTGGGTCCAGCATCCCTATACGCTGATGTGAATGTATCTGCTGGAAATCGGGCCCAACACCCCTATGCAGATCCACGAAACCCTAACAAAGTTGTGATACATGTGGTGTATGTAATGTATGTGTGATGTGTATGTGATGTATGTGTTCTATATTTATCAAAGTCTAAACACAAAACCCTAACAATCATATGATGTGATAAGTATGATCTTTATCCATCAAGACTAAGCACAAATCTCTACCGGTGATGAAATATGTGTGATACGATATGTGTGAACTTTATCAATGATATAATCTGTCCAAATATTTCCAAGATGAGCAGAGGCATTGATTACTTCCCTGCGACAGGGAAGGATTGACTTCGTGCCCATGAAGTATTATCCCATCTATAAAACCATCGGCAAAGATCACCCCAGGAAGAGAAACAAAGCAAAACTCAAGACCCTAAGCACCCTACATCCCCTTGGGGGCGATCGGCACCCCTTCATGATTAGAGTTTGAGGGCCAGTCAGCTCTAATAAAAAAAGGGGAGGTGGGCATCTATCCTACTCCCACCCGATGGCCGACAACAAGTCACCATGTAGAAACAGCAGATAGAAGGGGGGGGAAACGACAGATTGATACTTCAACCCCAAGCCCCATCTCACCAGGCACATCACTCCGCATATGACCCTCTTATCCGTGTCTACTCCACTCCCCACCACGTCAGCATGGGGCTTCTTTCCCGTCGTGTTGATGCTCTCTGCCCTGCTGCTCCCATGGTCATTGTTGCCGCTGTCGTAGCCGCTTCCACCGCCGTCGTCGTTGCCGCCATCCTTGTAGTTGTTGTTGTTCTCATCCCTATCTCTGTTGTTGTTATTGTCATCCCCATCACTGTTATCATCCCCAATCCTCACATCTCTATCGCCATCATCGCTGCCACCGCCGTCACCATTGCTGCCATCATCGCAGTTGTTGTTGTTATCATCCCCATCGTCGTTGTTGTTGTTATCTGCCCCAATTCCCACCGCATCACTGTTGCCGTGGTCATCGCTGCCGTTGTAGTCTTTGTCGTTGTTGATGTAATTGTTGACGTTGTTGTTGTTGTTGATGCTGACATCGTTGTCGCTGTGACCGTTGTTGTTGTCGCTGTGACCGTTGTTGTTGTCGTTGTTGTTGTTGAAGTCGTTGTCGTTGCTGATGTTGTTGTTGTCATTGTTTTTATTGCTAAGCCCGTTGTTGTTGTCGTTGTCGCTGTTGTTGTTGTAGTCGTTGTTGTTGTTAATATTGTTGTTGTTGTTGTTGTCGGTGTTGACGTCGGAGTTAGCCTTGTCTTCCTGCGCTCCATTCTCCTGCCAGTTCTCATCCTCCTTGTCGCCATTGCCTATCAACCGCTCCTCCAGCTTATAGCGCAGGTTACGGCCCTCAGTGAAGAGGGTATAACAGCTAGACATCATGCCATGTGCCCTCGTCCAATCGATGCAGGATTCTAGCTGGGGATCCGGCCCCTCCTCCAGCTCCCAGATGATGTCCAGCATGTCGTCGGCCATATTCTTCACCCAGCCAGCCAGAGAGATCGCCCCCCCTACGTCCTCTGGCTCCTCGTATGATCGCAAAGACAGCTCGCCCACCATCACCTGTAACCTCCTGCATCCTTCTTCCTAGGTCATCAACCAGTCGTCTGCTCCTCGTTGTAGCTCCCCCCCCAACTCCATCTCTAGCCCAGATAGTTGCACCCCTCTTGTGTTTTCGCTTCAATGTCACGGCTGGCGCTACCCCTGCCCGCGCGTCACGGGACGACCACGTCACCAACAACAGGCGCCACGTGGCAAAAGGAGCCACACGCGACTGTCGGGCACGCGCACAGGCCTAGCAGCCGAGGAGCTTCCCTCCCCAGGCGGTAGTCTCGCCGGAGGGACCGGACCTTGCTGGTCCGCCGGCGTCAGGGCGCTAGCGCTGGCGCAACTAGCTGCAGCCTTTTCAGGGGGAAATCAATCTGGTCCGTCTTCCACGAGGGGAACTACGGGCAGCGTTAAAAGTTACTCCTGTATAGAGGATTGACTGTCTGTAAGACCCAGTTCCTGAACAATACCCCACTTCTGGCTAAAAGCTTCCGCCCTTGGGAAAAACCTGCAACAGAACAAACAACTTTTGTCAACTGGACCTCTTATACCACAAAAGGCTCTCTACCCAGCTTTAGAAGCTATTATTTCCTCAACCCCCCCTCAACCAGATGGTATTCCCACATCCCTATCCTGGTCCACAGGCAAACAAGCACTCCGTTACCTAGGCATCATGGTGAAAAAGGACAGCACATGGCCGGGCTTGGGACAAAACCTAATCGCAAAGGCAATAACTCATCTGGCCCCATGCAAGAATGCTCAAGCGTCACTGTTGGGGAGGGTGTTAATCATGAACACAAGTATCTTTTCTACATTGTGGTACATGGCCTCCATCTGGTTCCCCCCCAATGGCGACCTAAAGAATCTCAAGGCCAGAGTCAGGTGCTTCCTATGGACTTGGGATCCTAACTGTACCACATGCATCAACAAAATGGCATGGGATTACATCACCAGGAAACCACCGGAAGGAGGCTTGGGTTTATTAGACCCAAAACAGGAAACACTCGCGCTCCAGATAAAATGGATAATCAAAATCCTAACCAGACGGTCCCTCCCTTGGACTAAAATGGCTCTGGACAGCATAAGGAACCTAGCACCCGTAAGATTGCCCCGCGACATGAGCGACCTCTTCTAGATTATGGCCAGAGAGTGGTCAATCCGAACAGGCAGGCAATGAAGTAGGCCATAGCCACAATCTATGGTTCAGGCCACGGTCACACCAAACTCATATTGGACACCTACCCTGAAGACGTGGCGCCGACTCATGCCGAACAAGCACGGGGCCCCCAGCAGCAAAGAAGAAGTAGGTAGACAACCCCTGTTCTGCAATCCCTGGATCAAAGACGCAGAGAAAAACCCTTGGTCTCTGCGCGCAAAAGACCGAAGATGGCTATCCTAGGTAGAAAAAGGAGTTTGGCAAATTAAACACCTATGGTCAGAAGAACGGAAGGAGTGGTTGTCAGAGCAAGAACTACGTGTTCCCCTGAGGGGGTGTCACTCACTAGGATCCAACATAGCCCTGATATGACAAAGCATCCCACAACACTGAATAGTGCTGCTAATAGAAGATTTTTCGTGGAAACCCGGGGAATGGGGCCTACTCATCAATTAAATCCCGTCCTGAGAGCATGTCGTTTTCATCAAGCGCCTAGAAGGAGCCAACTATCAATCCAAATTCATTTCACACCCTATATCGAATCACAACCTCCAGGAACTGGAAATCCTAAAGGCGGAACCTCAGACCGAGATCCTAGAGACCTTCTTACTCAGGAAAGTCAGGGTTTCGCGGAATAGACCATGGCTAATCTTCCAACCATAACTCAACATATGAGACATGGAATTTGACCGCAAGGAATGGATACAGAAGCAGGATAACACAAACAAAACAAGAACGATATTTGGTTATGATGTGAAATTCGGATACGACCTCGGACTACGGACGTTAGATCCAAACCATGGACGAATAGACAGATGGAAGATTCAGAGCCGCAACTCTTCAGGCTCCCTCACCATTTTTTTTTTTTTTTTTTTTTAACCCGTCGTGACAGATAGGAGTGATGGTAAGAGCATACACCCCTACCTGGCACACACGGAGCTCCAGTCTATTGGTGGGGAGCATCACCTGCTGAAAAACGGGTCCAGCATCCCTAGAAAAATACAACATTGAATTGATAAAAAACACCCGCTGAGCACCTCCTATGAAGATCTAACAATACTACAGGTGAAGCTAACAATCAATAACTGATGCAGATACTATACCTATTTATTTCTGAAAAATGAACGGCCTCATTTCGAAAGAATAAATTGCCTCTTCAGCCAGTTTTCTAGCTGCCTAATGAAAATACTATATCCAACAGTTTCCCCTTCAAGCACCCATAATACAGCCCCCTGGTAGACACTCAAGCAAACCCACTAATCATTCCCACTGCCTCTCATCCTTCTCCCCCCACAAACCACTGAAGATCCACCAAAGCAAGCTGAGATGGAGGAACATGATCAGGAAAAAACTCATACGATCTCAAGACAACTCCTGGTTGAATGTCAAACCAATTTTGAAAGATGATCTGGTAATCCCGCCTGAAGGACATCTGATCCCCTTCCTCTCTTGGTCAGACCACCTCCCCAAGTTTTTCCCCCGATACATTCCCCAAAGTCCATTTTGAATTTTTGAATTCTTTGTTTAATATCGTTTTTTTTGTTTAAGATTCATAAGACCAATTTTTGTCGTTTCCCATTGAGCCCTAAGCTCTGTTTGTACAAATTGTTGAATTAAATCTGCCATTTCCTTGCCTTCAATCTTCACACCTTCCATTGTGTTAACACATCTTTGGTACACAACGCCCACATAACTGCTTTCCTTCCTGTATTAAAGAAATTATGTTGAAAATTTGATAGTGAAACCAGGGGCGGATTCCAGTGACCCAAGAGGATAGCCCTCCATTCCCATGGTCATTCCAAGCTTGTCAATCTTTGCCATATATAATCCCATCGATGCCATAACATGATTGCACCTGGATATTGCAGAAAAACATGTTCAATTGTTTCCCTAATTTTCCTACTAGGAAAGGCATGTGCACATGATTGACACCATGGTAGAGTCAAACCTCTTTGTTTCAGTGTAGAACTGTCTATGAGTCAATCATTAGTTGGTAAACGCCTATGAATTATCTGTTATTGCAATGACGCAAACTTTGCAGGTCTCTCTTTGAGTCCCTGACACCACTTAACTGGTTTGAGCAAATCCTTTTGGGTGTTGAGATGACGAGTGCAGCGATCTTGCACAATATCTTGAACATTTATTTTGGGTCGCAATAGCCGGTAGGATGCTTTAACTGTCAGGGATTGTAATCTTTGAGGTTTACACCTCCTATTAGCTCACCAGATCCAATCAGCCGGGTCCAAAGGAAGTTCCAGAATGGGATAGTGTGAAAGGAAAACTGTCCATCCTTTGGTTGATGAACAATATAATGTCATGATTCTGTATAGTGTATTAAAAGGGAAAAATCCTACTCTATCCTGATTATTATTTGATATTCTATTGTCCTTATACAGCATGAAAGTATTCACTAAAGCCCCGTCTATGTGACTGTCCAAAATTTGGCCTACTATCTTGGTGCCATCGGGTTGATTCCCACAAACCCAATCCGAAACCAAGAACACTGGGCCCTTTTTTAGTATACTTATCCAGAGGAGGGGGATGGCAGAAATAATTTTCTCAAGATTGTTGGTTAGATTGTGCGCATATTTAATATCTTCCTTTAGGTTGTCCACCAAGGCTGCATACCCGGTCCCACCGGGGCCCCCTCCCCCCACCGGAACCGGGCCGGTTGGACCGGCCGGTGGACCGCACCGATTCCCCCCTGGTTGATATTTGCACATTTCAAATTGGGGGGGGTGTCGAATGTTTTGGGGCCAAGAGGCCTCCATGCAGGTCATGGAGGCCTCCTGGCGCCCAAAAAAATCGGACCGTGTCCGGTAGGGCCGCCTACATCTGGAAAATTGGCGGCCTATCTGGACCGTCGATCTGGTGAGATCAGCGGCCCAGATAGGCCGCCTGTTTTTGAACATTCGGGCGGGAAACCACCCGAACATATAGGCCGCCCCTTCAAACACCCTCCCGCCTCCCAACTCCCACCACTTTGGAGATGTGCACCCGGTTCGCTTTGGACGTCAAACGCAAACGAGGTGGAGACGTTGCCGCCCAGCCCCCGTCCGCCTCGGCCTCCGTGGATTCACCATCGCCCTGCCCCACCGTCGAGCTTTACCTCCATTGGTAAGCATATTCTTCTTCTTCTTCTGGTAGAGCTCTGGAGCAGGGACTTCTGCGCTGTGTTGGGAGAGATAGATAGATAGATAGATAGATAGATAGATAGATAGATAGATAGAGAGAGAGAGAGAGAGAGAGAGAGAGAGAGAGAGAGAGAGAGAG